CAAGGCATAGACTCAAACCATATTATTTGCAAATACGGGTGATTTCTCACCTCTGAAACATTCTATATTACCTAAGTATACATTCAAAGCATCCTCAAACATGCCATTCCTGGTAATGATGGACACTATTTAAGGGAACATACAAACCTTACCTAAATGTCACTGCACATCATCATGCAGTAATAGTAGAGCCACCAAGATGTTTATGTTCAGTAACCACACAAGCTCCAGGGGTGATGGAACCAAGACACGGGGCCATATAAAGAGGTACAGGTGTCACAGCCATGCCCTATTCAGGCATTCAAAATACACCAACTACCTTGTCCGGTACCATCAATGGGAATTAGAAATGTCTGATGAAGTACTGATTTGGCTACCCTTCAATTTTGAGGCGGCTGCTGCTGCTTTCAGAATTGGCCTATGTGTGTAGACAGTTCACTGAACAGGCTGAAGGAGGAATAGCCACCTTCTGTGACCTCATCAGATGGACTGGGGCAGCCATTTTCCGTACTCACACAAGGCCCTTTTCCTCTGTCTACCATGGCACTAACCCACTGCATTCTACTACCGCCCTGCCTCTCACTAACCCCAGTATTATCAAACCTGTTTTTGTATGTCTCCATCATCAGCTGAGAGCTTAAGCATGAGTAAGAACCAGGCCTTATACTCACCTTACCTATCCAGCTTAGTCTAACCAGAGGACCCTCGAAAGCAGAAGACCCCTCCTCCAAAGTTTGCTGAACATTTGTTGCAAAAATGAACAATGAATTTAGGCAATGCTGTTCAATTGCACAGAAAGAGGGCCTCCCTTTCACTTTCAGCTGCAGTCATTATTTACAACCTTGCTTCACATTTTCAGTCAACATCTCACCCCACTCCAGTAGAGCCCTTCAGTTCCTGATATCACATCTGTCCTGGCTGCTGCTCTTTCTTCAATTTGACCTGAAGCTCTAGTTTTTGCTTCTGTTATTTCTTCTGCCTCTACTAGAAGTACCCCTAACTCCTTCCAAGCCACAGCAGCTGTCTGACCAACTTGCTGGTGTGTCTGCCAAGTTCACAGTGACTATGCCCGGCCCCGCAGAGCTGTGTTAGAGCTAACTTCAAGGAGGGCACACTGGCTGTGTGCCAGGCTCTCGCTGTTAGGAAGCCTGTATTGTCATATAATGTTAAATGGGCCTTATAAGTGCCTGGTGAAATGGCTCCCAGAGCCAGATATGCCTTCTAACAAGCAGGCATTGTTACTTTACCATTTTACCTGTGCAATCTTACCTCCTCCTCCAGATTGTAAATGTAAGGAGCTGTGCTGGAATACCCCCTTGTAAATCCCCTGAACACCCAGCACAGTGCTCTGTGCACAGTAAGCATTCAATGAATATTTCTCCATTCAAGAAAAACCACATTCATCAACATTTCTCAGTTCCAGCTTCACATTAACGGGTGCCTTCACATGCACTCTTTCCATTAGGTCTACAGAGCAAATCTCTGGGAAGAATCATCATTCCCAAATTTGCAGATGAAGGTCATGCAACTTCAAGTGCATGATCTTCATGCACTGGAACTCTCTATACTGGAACCAAGTATAGAGTTCTTTTCCCTCCCCTATGCAGCTTGATAAAAACTTGTCGCATGAATGAATAAGCAAAAGCTCAAGTCTCCCTGGACACAGCCACTCTCTGTTCCCCAGACCATGATGTAGATGGTTTCACTGCACCAGACCCCCAAGGAGACAATGATTAGGTTTTTGACTTTTACACATGATGTATGATGTCCTCTGCCAGGGGGGCAGTATTCAGTGACAGCTTTCCCAGGGCACTAGCAGAGTCAGTTGGTGCAATTTTTTCAAGGTTTTTTTCAAGTGTCTCCATTACTAAAAAGGAGCAACAACAACAACAGAAAGAGCAAGCAGCCTCCAGGAGAAAGCCTTTCCAAGAAAATCTTTAAGATGGACCACTTTTCAGACTGTCTCCTCTATCAGCGGGCACAAAACCTATGTCATGGGAAACTCCAGTGCTGAAAGAAGGCTGGGGTTTTGTTTGTTTGTTTGTTTGGTGGGGTTTGGTGGGGGGTTTTTTGTTTGTTTGTTTACAAAATTACCACCTGCAAACTCCTGTGAGCAGTATGTGTTGCCATTCAAAATGCTGGAACACGCCTTGTTTCAGGACTGACTTTGCAATTTCTCAAAATTAAAAAAAAAAATCTTTGCAGAATTTCAGCCACAACAGCGTAAATTAAAAAGTCTGAAAATAAGCTCTTTACATATATGCTGACTTTGAAAGTTTTTCGTCAAATAAGATGCTGTCCTGAAAGGTCTGCATGAGCTGGAAATGCTAAGGTCAAATGAACGAAGTGGATCCCTTCACCAAGGGAGGACATTTTTCCTCCTGCAAAGGGACACAACCTTTCCCCAGCCCTCTCATAAGGAAGTCCGACCTGCTCACCTTAACGTCCACTCGAGGCTTCCTACCTCTGAACAACAATTAGCTCTACAGATATAAAATTCAACATTCCACAAGGGAGGCCTGTATGATCTGCACTTTAGGTAACTAGCCCCACAAAATTTCAGGCCCACTGAACAAGTTCCTGAGGATGAGAGGAAAATATGAGGCTCGCAATCTTTGTTCTAGAGGTCAAAAACCTAATCTGCCTTAGACTTGACGTTCCAAGTACTTCCACCCACCCCCAGCCCCCAAAAAGCTGCCACTCTAACAAAATTCATAAGAGACTCGCCCCCATTTTCCCAGGTGAAGGCAAGTGGCAGATCAATGTACAGCTCAAGAAGAGGAATTTAAATATTAAATACAGTGTGTGTTTCTCCTTTCAAAAAAAAGGAGAGAAGCCACTTCACATTTTGCCAGACAAAAACCCTGTCCCCCAGGAGGCCAGTTTCTACAATGAGGTTGCAAAGGTGTTAGAAAGAGGCCAGTTGGGAGGAGATAAAGGGCCATTTGGGCACAAACCCCCCACCGATCAGAGCTTTTTTCTGAAGTGTCTCCTTTTCAACAGGGAAGCCTTTTAAAACTACATTTGCTTTGGATCCCTACCTGAATGACAATGTGTTAGGATCCAATTTCACCTTTTGTCAAGGATCGGGTGAGAAACAGAAAAACTGCTGTCAGTATCTTAGAGAAAGCAAACCCTTAGCTTAAACCAGGAGGGGAAAAAAATCCTAGTGTCCCTTGTCCAGACCTAGTGATGAGGTGAAGGTGACAAATGCCTGCTAATCTTACAAGCAAAGTCCAAAACAGCAACATATTAAATTTCCTTTATTAAAAGAGGTGTCTCTATGCAAAAATACAATTGTTTGTGCTCTGAGTTGAAACATGCACCACCGGGGGGTAAAAGTCCTAGTTTTTTATACTAACGTTTTAGTTCTATTTCCTCTAAAAGTCACTTCACTCCTCAGAACTCTGTCAACAGTCATCAGAAATCACAAAGTGCATATGGAAAAAATTATAACTGGATCTAACCCTGAAAGATGTGCATGGGAAAGGACAGTTAAATGAGGTAACTTAAAAGCTTGTCTATTATTCTACAGAGAAAGAAGAATCCGACTCTATTGCACTTCATGGCCGGATGTCTGCAAATAAATACTGTACAGAATTATCTTTCCAGCAAACCAACCACTCTTCAATTTCACCTCACTGTTAAGAAAAAAAAATCCTAATCGTCTTCTACTTTAGTGTAAAAGCTCTCTGTTAGCTGCTTTAGGAAAACTGCACCATCCTGGGAGCTGCTTGAGGAGGTCATAGAAGGGGGGTTAAAAAAAAAAAAGACGTCAGAAACCTGAATCCTACCAAAGCAACTCAAAACACGTCTCCCTCCCGGTAGGAGGTGGACCAGTGGCCACAGTAAAATCGAATTCTGAAAGCTATTGCAAGAACACATTCCTGAAAACTTCGTTCTTTCGAAGACCACATTCATCTTCATTGTTAGAAGGCATAAGAGAATGAGGTTGTTTTCCCGAAGAATGGTACAGCAAAGGTTCAGGCTCCTAATGTCATCTCAACCTCTCCTAATCCAGGGGGCCTTTCCGACCAAGTAGGTTAAAATACCGGCAGAATACAATCTCCAGGTGGTTGCTGTTTAGCCATTTTTACTACTGTTGGTTATTAGTCACCATCTTCAGGATTCCTAATTAGCCCCGCTCATTTTTTTTTAAGCCCCCCTCTTCTAGGGAAGAGGGACACGGTAAACAAACTACATAAATAGGAACCTTATTCACTGTGCTCCCCTCCCCGCCCCACCCCCCAAAAGGCATACACAAAACAAAACAAAAATCGTACAGCGGAGAGCGCTCAACGGACAATGGCCACAGCAAACAGCAACAACAACAAAAAAACTCCCACACAAGACAAGAGTAAGGAATCTACCAGGAATATACCAAATCATCCCCTCCCCCAATGCACTCGGGGACAAGGAGCGCGAAGTCTGCTCCCGCGCCGCTCTCTGCCGGGACCCAGGTGGCCCAGAGGCAGCTGCTGGTGCCTTCCCTCTCGGCGTCCATGAATGAGCCTCGGTCCGGAGGGACACGAGGAGGTGGTGAGAGGGTAGGCTAGGGGCTTCGGAAAATCGTCCGAGCCAGACGCGGCCGTCTGCCCCGGGATGGGTACACAAAGAGGGAAGGGAAGTTTGCAGGGGCGTCCGGGTAAAAACAAGACCGCGGAGAAGATTCGAACAAATTAGGGGAGGAGATGCGAGGGAACTAGAGAACCCTTGCTGAGCTGAAGGCGCTGGGCGGGAGGGAAAGTGGGTTCCGTGCAAAGGGCAGGGGCTTCTGCAGAGGGGTGGGTACCTGCGTGCTAGAAAGAGTTGGTGTGCAGTTGGGGGTGGGGGGATCCTGTGCAGAGAACAGAGGTATTCGGTGGAAAGCTTGTCGGGGGTTGGTCTGTGCATGCCAGAGAGGTCGGTGTACGGTCAAGGGGACCTGTGCTGGGAACGGGAATCCGCGCAGGAGACACAGGGTGTCTGGCAAGTTGGGGGGCGCAATGTGAGCCACTTACTTGCATGGTGACGACCCCCAGCTCCTCGGCCGCAAGCCTCCTCATCTGGCTCGCCAGCACTTGTGCCTCGTCCAGGATGGAGAAGTCGGCGTCGGCCACCGCGCCCAGGAGCCAGCATACGACCAGGCAGAACAGCCAGAGGGACGGCCGCAGCGCTCCGGCCCCGGCCCGGCCGGGCTTGCCTCGGCAGCGGCGGGCCAGGGCGGCGGTCCTCGCCGTCTCCTCTTCCTCCGGCTCGCGGGCCATGCTGCCTCCCTCCACTCCCCGCCAACAGGCTCCAGGCGCCGGAAAGCGGGGAGAGAGCAACGGGAGGTGCGCCCAGGGCCCGCTCGGCGCACCCCGCAAAACTTTCTTCCCCTAGTGCAGACTCCTCTCCGCGCCGCGGCGGCTTCCAAACTTAGGGGGCGCCCGGCTACAGCGCGGGAGCGCAGGCGGCCACCATCGCCGGGCTCCCGCGGCCGGCGGGAGAGGAAGCAGTCGCCCGAGCGGTCTCCGGGACCCGGGCAGGGCCCCCACGGCGCTGCGGACGTCTCGAAGCGCGGCGACGCCTGCACCCGGGTACGCCAGCCGCGCGGCCGTGGGGCTGACAGGCGGAGCGCGAGCTGGGAGCCGCAGAGCTTTCGCTTCCCGGAGTCCCGGCGCAGGGAGGCGAGGGCGGCCGGCGGCACCCAGCGGAGGCGGAGCAGCGTCCCGGCTGCTGGACTGGGGCAGCCACCCGAACGAGGAGGGAGAGGGGGAGGCTTGCGGGGTAGAAAAATAATAATAATTACTGAAAGAAAGACAGAAAGAAAGAAAGCGGTAGGGGGAAAGGGAGGTGTCTGGTGCCACCACGCTGCGCTCCGGCTCCGCGTACTTCCCGGCTTGGCCGCCGCGGCGGCTGCGGTGATTTATGGAACAAGCAAGAGAGGCGGGGAAATTCCCCCAGTGGCCCCTCCTCTCTTTGCCTTGCTCCCGCCCCAGAACTGGCCCTCGGAGACGCCAGTGCCGGAGAGCAAGGCTCTCTTCTCGGGCACCAGCCCTGCCGGGGCTGGGGTCACTCGGACCCTCGGGTTACCGGGGACTGTGCCCCACCTCAGCTCTCGCCGCCTCTGCCAACGCGAGTGACTCCGGGGTCCCACCCGTTCAAGGTTCCACCCATCGAAAGTCCCCTAAGTTCTAGGACGCTGGCTTTCTGCCTGGCAGAGATTTGGGAAGGAGGGGACTGCCGTTTAAGCGTCCACACTGCTTTTCTTCGAGGTTATTCATGACAATAGCGAGCACTGGTTGGATCGACAGATTTCTTTTTTTAATCAGCTACTCTGTGCCCTGCAATGTGCTCTGGGGTTTGTAAAATTATCCTTTAATCCCCGCCGCATCTAGATGAGGTACACATCTTTATCCCAAATTTTTAGGTAACAAAGACTGAAGCTTAGAGAGGTGGAATAAATTGCCAGAAGATCACCCAGGGGATAAGAGGCAGATCCAGAATTTAAGCACAAGTCTGACTCCAAGGCTCTTGCTCTTAAATACATCATTTTTTCCTGTCTTTGAAAAGGAGCAACCTGATCCCATCAAAAGCAAAAACAAAACCAAAAACCCCACAAAACTGCTCAACTGGAGTTTGCCCCACACATACTCCCTGGAGCATGAGAGGGAAGCAAGATTGTTAACCTTCCTATTTTCCCCTGATTCCTGGCTGAGGTCTCTGAGAAATCACCTGTTGGAAGCATCTGGAATAAGTGGATGGGGGAGGGGGTTGTTAAAGGTGCCATTCTTCTCCCAAACCTTGTGACATTGCTATTTGCAGGTTTCTAGAGAACAGAGCCATGCTCAGGACGATTAAGGACTAGAACCTGGATGTAGTACCCTCTTCACTTTCCAGAAAAACCTTCTGTTTTCTTTCTTTGACTATACTGTATTAAAGACGCACTTCCTGTAATCTCTCCCTGGCCCATTTTACCTGATTGGTTGTTTCTCTATTCTGAATTCCCTAGTCAGCCTTGTCTCTGCTATACTATGCTTTCATTTTGTGATGACTCTCCACTCTGTGCCCCTTGAGAGGGGCAAATCAGACTCTTGCAGCATTTAGTATCTGCAATGTTTGTTTTATGGAACTCACATATCAGAACTAAGGTAAGCCTATTGCCAGCAGGGACCAGTCCATCACCACCACAGTTAGCTCCTCGATACCAAACAAAATAGGTACCATAAAAATGATTCTTGAATTAATAATGGGATAAAAAGATATATATGTTGTCTTCTGTTGCCAGAGTTGAAGTGACATTTGGTAGATGATCCTGTAACTTCTGTTTTTCTTTCTTTCTTTTTTTTTTTTTTGCTATATCACTGCACAAGATAATGAACCAATCAGTGAAGCAAAATATATCAGCCATGTGGTAACTGAAGGAAAAAACCAAAATATCGTCCTGGCTGGTGTGGCTCAGTGGATTGAGCACCAGCCTGCAAACCAAAAACAAAAATAATAATGACATCCAGCATTATTAATTTTTTGTATTGGATTCTTCAAGATTATTGTCACCAAAGTTGTTATACATCTCCCAGCTATCCTAAAACTCCTTTGACTATTTTTTGTATATTGTTATTATGAGGGGACCTATTTTTCACTATTCTATGTTCCTTTTCTTCATTCTCAGATTCTTTTTTGAGGACTCTCAGTACACCTATGCCTTCGATTATCACCAAGACATCAGGGTTTTTGCAAATTTCTAAATTTCTAAGCTCAGTCTCCCTTTGGAGCTGGAATTTTATTTTCCCAATTATCTACTGGCTTCTCTACTAGATATACCTGAATTAAAACTCATTCCTGCTTTCCCCTACTCTCCGCCTCAATCTGTATCTGACTGCAAATGTCAGGGAGTGTCACCCAGTCTCCAAGCTAAGTGCCTTACTCCGTCATCCACCACCTGCAGATCTCTCCTGTCCATCCCCTGCTCTCCATGTGTATCCATTCTCTGGCTTCAGCTCCTCATCACAGCTGCCCTTCGATTATGACCACTGTTTCAAGTCTCCATGCAGTCTATCTCACCTCCAACATTCTGTGCCCCACACTAAAACCAAAATCACCTTTCTAAAAGTAAAATCTGAACCCATCTCTCATGAGTCTAAACATTTCTGATGCCCCATCTCAGAGAAATAAACTTACACCAAACAAGGCTCTCTGTGCTCTGGCCTATCCACCTTTCTTGACTCATTGAAGCCACCCTGCCCTCAAAATCCTCACCATCTAGCAGACAACACCTTTGCCAGCAGTCTTGAATGCCCTCCTTCTCTTCCCCTGGTAAGTCCCTACTGAGCTGGGAGTCACCTCTGGGAAGCTTTCTCTGGCACTCCCCCCCCCCGCCCCCCCCCCCCACTACTTATTGCTCCCCCTCTGGGGCTCCAAAGCTCTTGGTTCTTCTCTCAGCACTTAATGTCTCCCAGCAGTTAATTAGCAGCATTGTGATTAGCCATTTGAAAGTCTTATTTTCTCCTCCCTAATGCTTCTCATGAAGTCCCCTGACCACCTGCATCCTTAGGGCACACCTAATAAATGGCAGATCCTTTGCTCCCATCCCAGTCGACTAAAGCATAACCTCTGGAGGTGAGCTAGGTCCTAAAATGTGAATTTTATAGACATGCCCCCAAGATGAATCTTATGAAGTACTACTGTTGGACTGCAAACGAGCTCCCCAGGATGGTAACACACTCCCTGGGAGCTCTAGCATTTTAGCTCAGCCCCTACAGCCAATAGATCTCAATACCCAGAAAGGGCCATGTGACATTTATATCACCAGTGGAGAAAAGTTTTCAAAGAGATAAAGTCATTAGCCCTGGGTAATATAATTTGGGTGCCGGTGTGCGACCCAGGTCTTCAAACAGCAAGCTCTGAACTACTAGTCTGGTGTCTGGGAAAATGATTTACACACATAATATATACTGGTACATGACAGACCAGTAAAAGCCTGCTGCCTAATAAACTGCCAACCTTAATGTCCCCAGCCCATATAAGTGAAATCACCCCACCATCGACCTCAGTTCAGTATTAGTTTGTTGTTTTCCAGAGGGATAACTTATTGAACCAGGGTGGGCATGTGACATGAAGGTAGCCAACCTATAGCACACAAAGCATGGCAAAAAAAAGATCAGCCGATGAAGCAAATTTTTGTTCTCAAAATTTTTAGTTATGAAATACCAAGGGTAAAGGCAGAAGTGGTCATTGAAACCAAAGGGACATAAGAAGGAGACATAGGGGCTGCAAGTCTCACAAAACATATTGTAGGGAATATATAGCTATATGTATGCCCATATAACCCCGAGATATGTATGTAGGGCTACATATTCCCTGATGTATGTTTATGGCTCTCTCTACATAGTCATATAGGTATGGGTAAGCATATAGCCATTAAAAGCACGGATCTTGGAATCAGAAAACCTGGGTTTGATCCCAACGATAATATTTATTAGCTGTATCATCTCTGTAAAGTTTAACTTTTCTTACCCTCAGTTTCTTCATCTGTACAATATGAACAATAATATCCAGAGGTTTTGTGTAAAGGCACATAAAACACTGAACATAGCACCTGTTACATACATAGAAGCATCCAATAAATAGTGGGTATGATTCTGCACACAGAAGCTAAGAAAGCCAATCAGAGAAAGCGTAGTACATAGAGCACGTGGCCTGTGAGAGACCATCGCCAAGAGCCAGAACCAATTTTCCCATTCCAGTTCCAATCTACACATTCTATTAATAACAGACTCCTTTTTTCTCCCTTTGTCTTGATGTAATTCTCAGGATCAAGTTCAGTCATTCATTCTACACAGAGAGGACACTATTGACTGTGTAGCTATTTGAAATACAAAATAATGAAAAGATTGGTAAGTGGGTCATGACTATCCCTAGAAGACAATAGACAACCATGAAAATTGCCTATGGTCTTGCTTGTGACAGAGTTGGACACCTGTTCATTATCTGTTTCCTCTCTGTAAGCCCAGCACTTAACATGTGGCCTTGTAATTGTTCATTTGTCATTTTCTTTTCTCTATCTTCATGTTTGTCAAAGTGTGGTCTATAGGCACCCACAGCAGAATCACCTGCCAGGGACTGTGTCTGCTTTATTCGCTACCACCACAGAATCTAGCAGAATTCCAGACCAGAATGGATACCTCAAAAACTGTTGGACCAAAGAAATGAGAAGAAAAATAGAATGATTCTTGAATCATTAACTGTGCAAATAGGGGCACAAACAACTTTGTTGTTTGACTGCTAAAGAAGGACAGCCCAATATTCCTCACCAAGTTGGCTGCTCTTTCATTTTGGGGGGTACAGATTCACTTCGGTGACAGACCACTTCATGGTACTTATTGGGCAAGATTCTCACCACAGAGGAACTCCATGTCAAACTGCTCTCGGAACTCTAGTTCAGATTTCCAAAAACGCAATATGGCATTTCCAAGCCACTGCAATTCCCCTTTCCATGCTCTGAGTGGAAAACAGGGCCAAGTTCACACAAATTATCAGCCTAATGCTGCTGGCAGACCTCCCATTCAAAACAATAACTGCCTGCAAATGATATTGAACCTGTGAACTCAGGGAGCTCAGGAGACTGGAACCACTAACTCCAAGGGCAGAAATTAGTACTCACTCATTAACTTGTACAATAATTCAAATCTCAGCAAGTGTGCTTTACTGTTAAATACACAGAAATGACTATTGGTCTAAATAAAATTCTAGAACACAGGTCTCCCCTGTTTTTCATATTCTTTCTACTGATTTCAAAAGTTATCAGATTTCCCATTCCCTTTCAGATTGAGAGCTATCACAGATAGAATAGCAGTATGAGATGTAAGTTTCCAACACCCCAGCATGGGTCAGGTA